TATGGTGGTGGGAGAACTATGAGGACTACAGTGATGTAAGAAAGAAAAAATTTAATTAATAAAAAGTAAAACAGCTACTAAAAAGAAATTTGGTGACTTAAAACAGTTTCTGTAAGAATCAAGAAACATCTTGGATAGGAGTCTCTGTCTTAAGGCCTTCCATGAGGCTGTTGTCAAACCTTTAGCCCAGACTTATCACATGTGGGGTGGAGGAGTGAGGTGCTAGGGCTCTGCCTTCACACTAACTTACATAGAGACTAGCAGGCTGCATAGCACCCCCGTCCCCCCAGCAGGGCCTTATACCCCAGCAGTGTGCTTCCCCCTGGGTGAGGAACCTTGGGGTGACTTCCATTACCTTTGCCACACTCTGTTTGCTAGAAGTGAGTCATTAAAACCAGTCCATTCTCTCAGGGAGAAGGCCGTACATGAATACCAAGAGATGGGGTCTCCGGGGGCCATCTTGGAGGCTGCCTATAAGAACAACTTCTGCTTTAACTACTATTTTCTATCCACATGCCTGTGAATTCCAAACATACACATCCAGCTGTCTACCAGGAAGTGTAATAGGCACTTACCCTGGAAACATGTTGCTCCCTGACTCTGACTTTTCTGCCAGTTTCTTCCATCTTGATGAATGGCAGCTCTGTTCTTAGAAATGACAGGTCAGAAACTTGGAGAAGGCCTCCCTGGTGGCGCAAGGGGTTAAGTCTCAGCACTATGAAGCTATCAGGAGCCACTGCAGCACAAGATTGATCCCCGGCCAGGGAGCTGACCCACATCGCCCAGGAGACCTCTCCTGCCGCGCCCGCTGCTCCCCTCAGCAGTGTATTTCAGTCAATCTGTCTGTTCTGCTCCCACCCTGTCTCTGGTGAATCCTCTCACCCCTCACTCTGCACCTCTAGCCTGCACCCCAGCTCTTATATTCATAAATAAATAAGTCTTTAAAAAAAAAAAACTTGGAGAGATCCCTTTTAACTCTTTGTCTTACATCACTTAGCAGTGTGACCTTCAGGATATGTCTACATGCTCACCAGTTGTCACCGCCTCCTCTCTCAATTTCACCACCTTGGTCCATGTAGTAGGTGACTCTCCTGAGCTTTGGCAGTAGCCTAACTGGGCCCTTTGTTTTCACCCCTGTCCACTTACAGTCTAGTCTTCACACAACACAGTATAATCCCTTAAAACAGAAGACAGATCTTTATACGCCACCATTCACAATTCTCCAGTGTCTTCCCATTGGACTTAAAGTGGAAACCTAAAGTCTTTACAATGGCCTACAAGGTATTTCATTGTTATAAAATTATTTTTATCTATTTTATTATAGAAAATTCTGTGCATATATATGATAATAAATACTACATGTATGTCTATGTAAACACATACTTGTATGTCTAGCTCTTTAATTTATTTAGAATTTCTATTCTGAATGGCATAAGCGAAGGATCCGACTCTTTCTCAATGAAGACCTAATTTTCCCAGCATTATTTGAGTAGAACCCTTGCTCTCCACTGAGATGATATTCCTCTCATCATTCTCTTGTAAGCAATTTTTGTCTCATTGTTGGATTTTATACTAAAGATATACCTAATAGTTCACATAAGATACAGTTGTGTTTTCAGAGATTTTATTCGATATGGTATATTCAAATACATATGAAAATAACTTATATCACATTTCTGTAAATAAAAAATAGAATTAATTGGGAAGGGCATTTACTTGTGTCTCTTTATTTGATATATAAACACTTATTCTGCTTAGGGCACTGTGACTTAAATTTTAAAATCCAGTTGGTTGCAAAATTAAGACAGAATAATAAGCCATATGAGTGTGGCAGCCAGGCCTCTGTTTCTGACTTAAATTGATAGCTTGAACTTTGTTGCTACTGCTAATAACAATTCAGAAAATTATCACAAAAATGCTTAGCAAATTTTACAGCCCTGTAAGAACATCTTCTGGACTGAAATCTTTATTTATCTAGCCAACTCTTTAGTGTTCAGGCATATCGTATCTGGGAATGCTCTCCGCCCCTGGTGTTCTTTTCTCCTTTCTGCACTTTTGGTCTTGTCTATTTATAACTTCAACTGGCAAACAAGAATGGGTAAGCAAAGAAGATTAAATTTAAAGGCAGTTTGTTTTGTTGGTTGTTAGCAGTACTGGTGAGCAGTTGCTGAAGTAGGGGCATATATTAAATTTTTTGCTGAAAAGGAGGTGTACAGAATTTTTGTGGTTTTCTTTTGATAAAAATTGGCTCATACTTGTTGCACGATGTGTAATTGAGACTCTGCTATAAATCACAAAATGAATCACATCCAACTCCTTGACCTCATTTCTATATAGATAGGAATGGAAATTCTTGTCGCATAGATGAGTCCTTATTTATGAATTTACTTTTCCTCAAAAAATGATTTATTGGGGCCTCCCTGGTGGTACAGTGGTTAAAGACAGCGCTATCAAACTATCGCCAGCCCCTGCAGCACAAGTTCAATCGCAGGCCGGCCAGGGAACAACCCACATGGTACAGCAGACCTCTCCTGTCTCACCCACTGCTCCCCTCAGCTGTGTATTTCAGTAGATCTGCCTGTTCTGTTCCCCACTCTCTCTGGTGAATCCTCTCACTTCCACACCTCTGAGTTACACCCCAGTTCTTGCATACATAAATAAATAAATCTTTAAAAAAAAATCATTTATTGAGGCCTCCCTGGTGGCCTAGGGGTTAAGTCTCAGTGCTGTCACTGCTATAGTCAGAGTTCAATCCCTGATCAGGAGCTAATCCACATGGCACAGCAGACCCCCCGGTGTCTCCCGCTGCTCCCCTCAGCAGTGTATTTCAGTCAATCCGTGTTTTGCTCCCAACTCTGTCTCTGGTGAATCCTCTCACTCCTTGCGATTCTGACCTATCCCAGTTCTTGTACAAATAAATAAAAAATCTTAAAAAAAATAATTTATTTCTCTGGACACCTATTTCTGGCCCTTAGCTAATAATGGAACCATTCTGCCTCTCTCAGATAGATTTTGCTGCACTTGGAGTCAAGAATATGATCTAGAAATGAGTTACTTTCTCTAGGGCAAAATCCAAACAGAAAAAAAAAAAAGAGAGAGAGAATAGGTACTATGAGAAAGTATTTAGCTTCCAGTGATTTCTTCAAACCAGCACTACGATGTTCTGTTACATTCACTGTCTATGTGCATTAAGAATCAAATGAACAAGAACTTAAGCAGCCTAGTCAAAGCACAAATTAACCTGCTGTGTGACTTTAAGAAGCCTGCCAGCCTCCCTGGGCCTGCAGCTTCATTTGGAAGAGAATTTTGAACTAGATGACAAAGATCCTTTCCAGTTCTAAGATATCACATATAAAATTGGTAACAAATAAGGAAAATGCAGCAATTTATTTTTAGTAAAAGAAGATTGATACCAGCTATTAACTTGCAGTGAGTTTGCTTAAATCTTCCATCTCCTTCCAAATTCTGTTTTTACCAAAACGTAAGCTAAAGACAGTTTGTCATGCTTTGAACTTCCTGGCTTATGTTGATTTGTATCAATATGTTACTGTTACACAGTTGAGTGGGAGCTGAGTTACATTTCATGAGAACTGCTCGGAAAACTAATAAAATCACTACAGCCCTACTTTCGGTGGGTATTGATAGCATCAAGAAAATTTTTTTAAAAATTGTCATTTTCAGGCAATTGCTTTTCCAGCCAGACTGAAAATATAATGCCCTTAAACTCAACTCATTTGTTTAAACATTAACCAAGAGCTGCTTTTTCCTTCTCAAAATTTAAGTGCCTACCATGAATTTAACCACAGATATTTCAAGCCCCAAAATGTCCTTTTAGAAAATGTGGAGTATTCTATAATGGAATAGCTTCAGAAAGCTTTCAAGGAATTGATTAATCACACAGCAGCCCAGCAAGACATAAAAATATATCCTTTCTCTTGCAATTGGGTCATTGGATGAAGAGGTCTTTAGCAATTGCCTCTGACCTTTGGAGATTCAGGGTTTAGGGTTACAAATAAGATGCAGTCATAGTAGAGAACTGAGTAGCAGCCTGGCCATGGGCTTTCAAGGCAGATGAGGAAGAGCAGAGAAAATGCTAAAAAGGGATGCAGACTTTTTTGGAAGAAGGTTTCCAGGCTGTCAATGACCATTGTGAAAAAGCCAACAGTGGGTGGCTCTGAATGAGCACCAGAAAAAAGCTAGAACAACCCCCCTGACTGTTAGTCTGATAAGACAGCGTTGTAAGCTCCCAAGGCAGAAGCGAACTTTCCAGAACGACCTTGTCACACACACTTCTCATGTGTAGGCTTTATCAGCTGCTCTGAGTGGGGGTAAGGCGGTATGCATATTTTATTCATTTCATATTCAGTGTGTAAAGTAACTGCTGCTTTCCAGCTTGGGTGGGGAAGGTATTTATCAAGATTTATCAAGAATCAGAACGGAAACCCATCAATTACCTATTTGTGGTACAAAATAGAAAATTTCCTGTCTTCTACTTTGTCTCTTTTTTGTTGCTGTTCGGTCCTGGGAACCCTTTATTAAAAAGCGAAATTATTATTAGCTCAGCCAATCTGCGTCTTTCATCAACAGAATCAGATGAACTTTAGTTCAAAACAAAACTTTCTCTACTTTCTGCTCTCTCTGACTTCACACTCAAATCTTTCATTCTTTAAACATAATGAATCCTCATCTCTTCCTTTATTTCTCTTAGTAAACTTGACATTTTTGCAAGCTCGTTCCCACTGGTTTATACCATCATATTCAAGACTCAGTCCCTTCTCCAACATGTGCTGTGCCTTTTCCCTCCGCCCCTCCCCCCTGAGTATTTTAGGGCACCACATGTAGATCAGTTGTGTGATAGCTTCGTTCTTGTAATTAACATGCTTGTTTGAGGTTATAAAATATACATCTGAGAAAGGCCAGGGATTTCCCCTTGAATATCAACTAACTGCTTGAAGTGGCATTTTCATTCTGACTTGGTGTTTTGTTTTGTTTTCCTGCAGCATACTGGAGCAAAATGAAAGAGTTTATTTTGAGGCCTCCGAAGTAGTGCTGCCACAGACCATGAGCAAGAGAGGAAGAGTGGACTTCAGCCTGCACAACTGGTCTTGAAACACAAGTGGTTTGGGGTAAGTCAGCTGAAGGGCTTGGCATTTGTTAGCTTTAAATTTCATCAGTCATCACTTATTTGGTGTCCCAGGACATCCTATTCAAGTACGTGGCTGTTTCTCTCCAACCCAAGCAACAAGATATTTGAGAAAATGTTGTGCTAGTGATAGACAGCAGAGAGAACAACCACATACACGGGTGTGTGTGTTAGTTTCTGAAATTTGCTGGGATAGTTGGATCTGAGTAGAATGCATCTGTGGTTAGAAAAAGAAAAAAAAAAAAACAACAACAAAAAAATGAAGCAACAAAACACACAAGCAACAAACTACATCTTCCAGATAATTCCATCTGAGCTGAGAGCCTTTGGGGTTAATCACACATGAATGAGAGAGCAGATTTGGTATTGCTGACCTTGTTATCTTAGAGTGAGTGAATTACTGGGGTCGGCAGGTTTGAGAGGCATGGGGAGTGTCCTGGTTCTGTTGCACAAATGTTTGTTGACTATCTCTTACGGAACATGATGCTCCGAGTGACAGTCTGGGTTTGGGGGTGGCATTCAACTACTCCAAACTACGAAGAATAACTAAATTCCTAGCTATGCACCAAAATAATATGGACTTCTGAGGAAGCTGTATCTGCCTAGTTCCTTGTAGAGCTTGGAAGGAGAGTCTCAAATCGAAGCCCAGTTCTGCCCACCTATCTTAGTGACCTCAGACAACTGACTCATCCTCTTGGAACGAGGCACCTGTAAAAACTCGAGTACGTGCCTCATGAGACTTCAAGGTCTCTTGCAAATTTAAAATTGCACAGTTGACTCTAGTGAAATTAGTTAAATAATTACACCCTTTGATTCTTGCCCAGGCAAATTTACTCTGTACCCCTGCAAGTCATAATGTGCAGGGGTGGTTCACTGAACCAGCCAGGGTGGAGGAAGAAGGCCAGGAATTGGGGGAGAGTTGCTTCTCCCTGTTTGCACCGATTTTTGTGAACCAGGCCTTGGTCAAACAGGTCAACCTTGGTCAAACAGGCCTTGCAGTGTGTGCAGTTAGGAATATTCTTCCTCACAGGATTAAAGAAAACATGGCTCATTGTTACCTGAGTTATCATTTTCAAATCAATGAGGCAGATTTCTTTAGGATTACTGTCCTGTCTTCTTCTGCAGGAGATAGAACTTGTTCCTTCTTTGTCATGCTGTCACTTGGCCATAGGTTATCTGCCAGGCCTTAGCCCTTGGAGGCCCAAACTTTGTTTCCATTGGCTAGAATTTATTATTTTCCTTTCTTACTAAACATCCTTTCCTGAGGCTGAGCTGTGAGTGACATGTTAAATGATGCTCAGATGTCACTCTTGTGAGCAGCTGACTGTTGGCCTGGGAGAGGGGCATTATTTGGGTTCCCTAGCAGCATTTTTTGCTTACAAATATAAAATTTTGAAGTGCAGGAAGCCACATAAATGCAGCAGACTGGAAATGCAAACATAGTGTTATTGGAAATGCCAGTTTTATGATTCTCCTGGTGACATTGTCCCCTGCAATCAGTGCGTGGAGACTCTGACCTGCTGGGTGGCCTGGGTAGCCTGCCTCGAGCCATGTCTTCACCTTTATTTACACTGTGCGCTGTGGCCCCTTGTTAGACTGAACCTGGAGGTTTGATGAGGAGGATTGAATGAGCTGGCTCTTTCTTCCCAAGACACGCCTGACTGCAAGGGCAGTTCACATTCACTGTTGTCCCTAGCCTCGATATACATTCCTGTAACATTCAGAATTTACGTCATTAAAAGTTAAGTCTCTGGGGTTCTCCCTGGTGGTGCAAGGGATTAAGTCTCAGCACTATGAAGCTATCCGCAGTTACTGCAGCACAAGTTCGATCCCTGGCCTGGGAGTTGATGCACATGGCACAGCAGACCTCTCCTGTCTCAACCGCTGCTCCCCTCAGCAGTGTATTTCAGTCAGTCTGCCTGTTCTGCTCCCCGCTCTGTCTCTGGTGAATCCTCTCACCACCCCCCCACACCTCTGGCTGGTACCCCAGTTCTTGTATGCATAAATAGATAAATCTTGAAAAAAGAAGTTCAGTCTCTGACTAGGCCTTGTTTACTGGGGGCTTGCCATTGTCCCATCTGGATTATAAACAGCTTGAGGGCAGGAGTGTAGTCCTGGGACCTCCTGCATGAGAGTTGCCTGGAGAAACTTGTGAAGGGGCAGAGTCAGCAGCAGCAAGCTCTGTGAGTCAGGTTTTTGGGGGATATCGAGCCCAGGAAACTCACCACAGGTAATTCTTCTGCATCCTGAGGTCTGAGAACAACTGTCTGAGTCTACTTCTTCATCATCCTCTTGAGGACCCTCAGTGTAAGATCTAGGTCTGAGCACATAGTAGGTGCCCAGGAAGTCACTACTCACTGACCCAAACATGCAGGATGGTGCCTCCTGCCTTCAAGCCTTGCTGCTTCAGGGCGTCGAGTCTGCTTTTTCTCAGACCCTTAGAGACCTCGTGTTGTCTACATATGTAGAGTGTGTCCCTAGCTCAGAGGCTCTTTGGAAACCTTTGTCTGTCTCATCCTCTTTAGCCACTTGCTCTGCTAATGACCGTACCCCTCACCGAAGCTAGTTTAACTTGGACTGTGGGGGCCTGAAGGAGAGGCCAGGAGGAAGCCTGGGGAAGAGAGAGGTCCTGTGCCCACCTTGAAGCTCTGTCCTTGGCTCCCAGGGCCACACCTGCTGTCCGTGGCAATTTATTTTACGTGGTTTTTCTTTTAGCTGCTGGGGCTCACCAGTTGTCAATTTGGGTGGCAGGAAAGGGATTCTGTGGCTGGGGATTGAGTTAAGCTGCATGGACTCAACATCAGAGCTTTCACAGTGGCAGTGGCAGATTCAGGAATTGAATCTGATATTAACAGACGGCAGTGGTGGCTCTTGATTCTCTACCTTCCCTCTTCACTCCCTCCTTTCACCCTCCCATGCTGCTGCTCAAGTGAAAGCAAACCCAGCCTGGGGTGGGGTGGGGGAGATCCAGAAGAAATGTGCAGGGTCTTGTTGCTTCTGGTGCAGCCCCTGACTGCCCTTGGTGGCGGATCCTGCCCTAGCAGAAGATCTGACAGTGAGCTCAAGTTTGAAACCGAACAGAACTGGGAGAAGCTTAGCCAGCCTATAAAGGAAGAAGCGAGCTAATCAGGCATTTATTAGCTGTTAAGAGAAACCACTACCAAATGCACTGAACCTTATTTGGCTGGCATTGTGTGTGTGTGTTGGCATTGTGTTTGTGTGTGTGTGTGTGTGTGTGTGTGTGTCTTGCTTAGTCACAGTCTTATTTAGAGAAATTGTGCCGAATTAAGTTTGTGTTTAAAGACACATACACGTACAGTAGCAGGAAAGCATCTTCTCCTGGGTCACCATCTGATTTTGATGACAGGGGGTCTGAAACGTACCAAGGCAGAAGAGATGGGATTGAACTTTTTTCTTATATTCTCAGCTAAGTAGAAGACAAAAATGCATGGTTCCCAAGCAATGTTAAAGGCAGAAGAGGCTGGGGCCTCCCTGGTGGTGCAGGGGTGAAAGACAGTGCTATCAAGCTGTTACCAGCAGCTCCTGCATGAGTTTGATCCCCACTGGCCAGGGAGCTACCCACATGGCACCGCAGACCTCTCCTGCATCTTCCGCTGCTGCCCTCCGCAGTGTATTTCAGTGGAGCCACCTCTTCTGCTCCCCACTCTGTCTCCGGTGAATCCTCTCACCCCCTGCACCTCTGGCCTGCACCTAGTTCTTGTATGCATAAGTAAAATACATCTTTTTTAAAAAGGGCAAAAGAGGCTGTTTAAAATGTGCTTCCTGGAGACCTCACTGTTTTCTCTGTGCACCTTCTTCCTTCCAGTGGGTGGGTGGGGGTAGGGGGGCAGCTTTGTGTCACAGGAGGGAGGTGCACTGCTTACCAGCTACAGAAGAGAGATGTACAGTCGTTGACATGTCTTTGAAGCTTTGTTACAGGCAGCGTAATAACCAGGAACAAAATCAAATAAATTATAAAGTATGTTAATTTAGTGAAATACCAGATGCTGGCATTGCTGCTTTGGAGGTCTTTAGCTGTGCGTGCTATATTTCCTCACAAGTAGCTACGTGTGCTTGGGAAAAAGCAGAGTGGCTCTGAAAGACCGTTTGTCTAGCTAGAAACTATGTCACGTGTACTGCTTACCATGAGGCATCCTGGAGAACGGCAGGATTTCCAAATGGCCACCTAAATCACAGGCTCTGCTTTTGGAAGAAGCTCTACATAAGAGCCGGTCCGGTCCAGACCCCCCCTGAAGACCATCATTAGGCAGTTCTTAAAATGCTTTGTGGCTTAGAGGAGTTAGGGACCCTTTGTGCATCTAAGCCGACGTAAAGCTCTGTACCAAGCATGTCTTCTGTTAAATGTGTTATAACTCGCTCTTCTTGCTGATGCTATCACTGGCTCACAATTGCATCAGTCTTTCAGAGAAGCTGTGTGGTTTGGTATAACTGTGAGTAAAACCACACCCATTCAGGAAATGCAGTGAATTGTCTTACAATAGGCATCATCAAAACTGATGTTGATTTACTTGAAAGGTTCCCTTTCTGAGTGGCAATTTGAGACCTTTGAAGGGAGGTATCTGCCATGCATCAAAAGAAGTTAGAATTAAACGGGCTCCTTTGCACTGTTGGTGTGAAAACTGAAACTTGCCAGTGTTTGTTACTGCGCGTGCTCTCCCTGAAGGCATCATCTCATCACGGTATCATTATCAGCTCCACTCTAATGACTAATGTTGCTCTCTCTTTCCTTTTGGAGTTTAAGATCAGTTGCTCCCAACTTCCTTCCACCTGGCTCGAGCTGGATATTTTATAGGTGTCTCCAATTTGAGTCGAAAGCTAAAGGTATCATTTATCCTGTCTCTTTTTTTACAGGTTTCTTATTTAGAGAACCAAGATTCAACCAGCCAGTCGTTGAGCTGGATACCTCCTCTGCTTCATTCCTTGACCACATGCTGTGATTTTGCTTATTCTGTATTTTATACT